ACAAAGGGTTCAGAGCTATTGTATAAAACAAAGGATATCTGCTTTTGAAGGCAGGGCTGGTTGAGAGCAGGGGTGATGGAGAGAATGTGTCGCTGGTCAGTAGAAGAGGCCGGTGGGCTGTGAGCTGAATTGGTGACATAAAGTGATGCAGGCTGACAGTGGCAAGATATACCACCAGGGTGTGGCTGGCAGTGGGCGACAGCTGGAAGAAAGCATCTCAGTTCAGGGATGGAGACTGGGGTGACAGAGAGAGGAACTCAGGTAGAGACTGGCCAAGATTTCTGGAACAGAGGATGTGAGTAAAAGCCGAAAGCCAGAATCAAAATTGAACTCTTGAGGGCAGGGAGGAGTTGGTGGAATTTGTGGTAATAGAAAGGGGCCCAAAACTTTGAGAAGGAGCCCTGTGGTGGTGTAGAGTATGGGGAAGAACTGACCACAAAAGGCTTCAGAAAGCAAGAGAGGGTGAATCCAGGGGGAAGAAAGACAGGACAACATGGTGGGATATATCTGCGGATAGAGAAAAGGGGTGTATGGGGTGACTACTCAAAAGCACATTCTAGGAGTCTCCAAGAGAACTGAGGAGATCCTCTAAAACAGCTGGTACCCAGGGAGCTGATAAGACCGAAGTACCAAGGACAGCGCACGGAAGTTCAGCATTCCCAAGGCTCTGGAAACAGGAAGACTACAGATAACCAAGTGGGCACTGGTGAAGCCAGGGACCCATAAGAAGATGGGGTCATATAAGCTAGATCAGAATGGGTGGCAGAGTGGGAAACAGCTTGACTTCAGGCTGAATGCACCTGTGTGCTGGGAGCTGAGAAAAAATCATTGTGCTTGACTATGAAAAGGTATTCATGGAGCTATGCGAGGTGGTGGATGTGAACTTCATATGCAGAAAGTCGGCAGTAAACCCCTTTCCTCTATAAGCCTGCCAGGCGTCTGACTCTATTTGCTCATAATGCTTTGGACTCCTACTGTTAGCTTTCATTATGAGTAAGGGCAATGCATGCTCTGGATGAGGTTAGGGCATTCAGTGAAATATCTGAAGGACATGCCTTTGACAAGACAGTTAATTCTCAGGAAAGAAAAGGAAAGAGTCGGCTCACTCTTTTGTCTGCACTTGGACTTGGTTTGGAAACGATTATTGCTCCTCACTTTGCTTTCATTTCTGGGTGCCAAGAGGCACTTTCATTTAACCTTTTGTACAGCGTATGTGTTCTGTATTTTTAAATGTTTTGTTATTGTTCTCTGGACTGGTATTGTCTCTGAACAGCATATGAGTGGCAGTATCTAATTTAAAATCCTAACTTTCCATCAGTATCCTTAAATTACATACATGTTGTTGAAAAATCTATGATTGCATGAACCACTTAACTATTACATTTAAAAGAGATTATTTAATACTCAACAGTTCACTGGATGGACTGTTCACATCTGTGTTTAAATTAAATTTCAAGTAGAGGGGAAGAGTAAGGGGAGAGACAGGGAGAAAAAGAGAAGACAGAGGAAGAAAGAGATGGAGGGAAAGTAGAGAGAGAGACAGAGGGAAAAGAAGAAGGAAAGGAAGGGAAAGCTTGAGAAAAAAACATACCCCAAATTGCCACTTAATTTTCATTTCAAATGCCTATGTAATCGTTCACGTGGACTTAACAGAGCTATAGAACACAAAACAAATTTAAAAAAAGAATTTTGTCGCCAAGTCAGAGGGGCAATGAAAGCAGATTCAGAAAGCACAATTCTGTGTGGAGTTTCTGTTTCAGTTATTAATTTTTCTTTCTGCTCAACTAAAAATGTGGTTGTAGAGAAAGAACATAAACGGTCAGAACCAAAACTGAATAGGACAACCCTCTCACCCCCATCTCCTTGATCCTGGCTTAAAAACAGGAAATTCTTATTCTCTTGGACATGATAACCAACTCTAGCAATTTTTTGAACATGCAATTCCTATCAAGTAAGATGGCATGTAGAAGGTCAAGCAAAGAATCCCGTGCAGGAGAGTCGCCCAGGGCAGACTCCTGGGAAGATGCTGTTTCAGCAGACCCGACTGGCCTGGACCAAACTGAGAGGTCAACCTGCAAAGCTGCCTTCAGAGCAGCCAGATGCAGATGCAAGCTGTTTGGGAATTTCAGAATGTAATTAGAATTTGTGGTGGAAACAGCTATCACTTCCACCTCCAAAGGTTGTTTTTTGAAAGAAAGCAGAAAAGAAGAGGAAAAAAGTCAACTTTTTATTTTGATGAAGGCTCAGCCACAGAGGAGAAGCACAACACCCTGGTTGCCAATTCTCTTCCATCTGATTCCAAACTTACTCCCTTCTTCTCCTGCATTTGTGGGGGCCAGAAGTGTGCAGTCAGCACTGGCCCCGTGAGGGCTTAGTATAGCATTTCACAGCTAGGTCACTAGAATGACAGTAAGTATCGTATCTTCTGAGTGAATGGTAGGGTTCTTTTCATTTGTCTCTAACTTTTAAAAATAAAAAATTTGTTTTCTCATAATCCATATGAAAAATAAGACAGATACTACAGTCCACATTTCAGCCTTCCTCAATGTGAAAATTACATTGATTTTTCCCCTCCTCAATTCTTGAAGCTTTATTTTAAATGTGATTCAATGAACTGAATCTGGCTCTTCTTTGTTCATGTTCTTAATGCTTCAAGAACTTGATAAGTTATTCTCTCTTGGCGATGAATACAAAAGAAAACTTTGTAGAAAAACAATCCAAAGAAAACTAAAAGTCATTCTCAAGTCTTACCATTTTTAACATCAGGTAGTGTAGCCTTCCTTTATTTCAACAGTTTGTACCTATAATAACTTTTTTTAAAAACAAGATTGTAATGTTTTTAGAAGATTCTCTATATACTAGAAAATAAAGGCTAGGAAATAAGCCATCCTTAAAAAAATAAAGAAAAAGTTAAGACAGCTGCATTATTAGAGTTTATAAAGCTATAATGACAGCAATGAACACAGACGAAGCAATTATGAATTTTTATCTATTGTGAATAGATAAAAATCCAATTGGAAAATGAGGCCTGCCCCACTGAACACCTGTTTATAGTCTTAATTTTGCCTTAATGAGACACTACTGATGTCCTTCAACACAACAAAAATCAATAGTGGATCAATATGGATAAACATGTTGGGTACAACCTTTTGTCCTAAGAGACAGTTAACAGCTGGGTTTAGTTTTACTGGGATTTACTTGAAGACTTGTAAAAGTAAATAATGGTACATTTAAGAATATTTGCCTGCTTTGATTTAGTGAGTTTGGCAGGTGGCGGTGGCCTTTCAATGACATATGGCTTTGAAATTACATCAATATATGCATACAATGTGTCTTTTCCTCTAGTTCATGCATCAAATTAATTAGTAAAGAATCCCTGGTTTAACATTTTATAAGCAAATATTCCCCAGTGCTGATTGAAGAAAACACAGTGAAAAGACAAAAGAGAAAAGAGCCTGAAAAGTTCTGCAGGAATTTTTGAGAATAGCAGCATGACCAGATAGATTGACAGATACCAATATTTTCTTACAACACTACAAAAGGCATATCCAAGTATGTTTAATGAGGCAATGTTAATTTCTTCTTTTCAAAGTTAAATTACTTATTAAATGAAATAGCACATGTTCAATCTATCTCAAATGTTTCCATTAGCGGACTTACCCTCTGTGTCCCTTGTAATAAATGAGATTCTGATGGCCTTCAAAAGGATACAAAACTCTATATTTGTAAATAAAAATTAGATGAGCAGCTCTAAATATACTTTATGCTGTACTCTCCTTAATATTTCATAATTGGAAGTTATAGAATAACACTATAGTAAAAATTAAATAGATTCTAGTTTTTGTTTTTATGAAATTTTGTTCATTTGTTTTTATAACAGACTACTTTCAATTATAGAGTCACATTAAGAAAAGCAAATGATAAATTTTATAGAAACCACAACTAAATAAACCACATTATGTTTTAATTTAACAGAGAAATTTACTTTTGAGGATCAAAGGTCATCATGTTTTTGTAAATTATAGAAACGTGTAAATTTGGTTCTCTATGCAATATCCTATAGATCACATGGAGAAAACATGAGATTCTGGCATATGTGAACTAGAATTTACCCTATTTTCAAAAGCATTCCTATTTGCCAGTTGCTACTAAATGCCCTGAGTTCTGCCTGTTTGTCTCTCTTACCTTAGTTTTCAGTAACACAAGACATGTTCTATTGACAAAAATTTAAATAGCATTATAAGGCACAGTGCCTATTAAGATTAATAGATATTGTTCTGGTTTTAATATTAGCTATTTTGAAGGGTGTTTCATTTGCTTTCATAAAGAGAGTTCACTTGATATGACTGGGACACAATGGCAAGGTAAAGTTTATCAGTTTTGTTTTGAGCTCTTCTGCCATCCAAACATATTGGAACAAACTTTCTTACAGTTTGACATGGTTACAGATAGATTCTTTACCATTTACATGGCTAAGTAAATATATTAAAATGAACATTTACAGATCCTAGCATATCAATATTATAGTACTATTAAATAAATCACTAAAATATTTTACTAACTAGTTAACTAAAATAAACTTTCAAAATGAAGTGCCAAGAAAAAGTTAAAGGAGTTTTTAATCGAACCCGAACTGGGGAGAATTATCCCACTTCAAATACCACAACACCGACCTGCGAATGGGAAACCTTTTACATATTTTCTTTCGCAAAGAAACTAACAATAGTCACTTTGGGCAATATATACACACACATGCAAAATACAGCCCTGGAGAGCCAACTCACTCCAGCTTTCACAGATGAAGAAAAAAAAGTGCTTGGAAATCTTGATGTTCACAGAGTCCTTCAATCACCTAGCAACCCCTCTTACTGCCGTTCTTAATTGCGAATATTTAGCGTTCAAATTCAAAGATTTGACGAAGCTGATGTAAACTGTAACTTTAAAACGAAACGAAAATAAACAGTGAAACTTCGAACACATTTAAGCAAAATGGTCCCTACCTTTTTTCTGAGAATACGATGGCGACTGCACTTGAGAAAAAGTAGGCTTTTCTTCAGTGAAATATTCAGGTTGGCTGTATTGATTCAGGGCCATGTCCAAGTCAGAGTCCTTGCTTTTAAACATGTTTCCAGGGTAACTACAGGTATAAGGCTGATTCACTGCCCAGGCCTGTTCCATATATATGTTGTTACTGGGCACAGCCTGAGCATCGCAACCACTGTAACCCGGACTGTCTTCGAAATACGCGTAATAATCAGTGGACTGCATGTAGCAATTGCTGCCGGCAGCTGGGTGCACTTCATATATTTCTTGCATACAGTAGTTCATTTTGTTTCCCTGGTTCAGTTTCTACTTTACATATACACACACTCTACGCATGCATTCGCTAGCCCCATACACCCTGAGAGCTGGGCATATACGCAGAGAAGCATACATACACATGAAACGCGAAGGGAAGATGAATAAACACCACCACCAACACAGCAACCCAGCCTGCTTTACTTTGTAATAGCACCTGATGTGCTAAAATCCTATTTAGACTGAGGTGTCTTTTGAGCTCTTCTGCCATCCAAACATATTGGAAAGCAGATTTATGACTATCAAAGGTCTTAAGCTGTGCATGCAGCTAGTTAATTCCTGGGGAAGATGGCAGGCAGGTAGGAATGACCTCCACCCAGATAGCGGAGTGTCAGCGCAAATGTTACTCTGAAGCTGCTAAGATTCATTTTATACGCTGTTTTTAACCCCTTTTAACATGATTAGAAAATGATTACTCATTGTTATGTCATTTTGGTTGACAGCTTAAGCATGAAACATTATAAAGACATCTTAGAGAATATCCTTGGATACAAAGAAAATCCTAAAATCAATAATCTAGTTTATTAGCATGAACCAGAGAAAATCCAGTAGTAATGAGCCTGATGACTGACTGACTCCAAAACATTAATCTAGCTGTGCAAATGTTAGTAGTTGAATCTGTTGTCGAATGTTACTGACCGGCTTTTAATACCAGGATCCAGCCATCTTCCCATGACACATAGGTCCCATTGGGTTTTAAAACATGCCAAGGAAGTACACAGTTGAAAATGCTGCTGATGTCTGCAAGTGAGTTTTATTCTGTTCCTTGTACATGATTATTTTCTACCTCAGAAGCACTAATCTACATGAGACCTAAAGCTTACATTAACTGTTCAATTCTGTAATTTATGTTTTCTTTACAAAGGCATGAGAGAGAGCATATGGCAATGCCCCTAAATGAGGAATACTCCTATTAGATAGTAGTTTTCTTTTTCTGTTGGTGCTTAATAGTACTCTGACCAGTAGTGCGTGGAAAACTGTAAGCACTTATCATTTTATTCCCATTCAAATCTGCTTTTGAGATTGTTTTCAAGGTTTAATGTGATTTAAGTGGTATTCATGTACTTAAAGATAGTGATCAAAAAGGGAACAGCATTTTCTGTAAGAATCATCACATCTTTTAACTAAGAAGTTAACAAATACCAAATGAGATTGTAAATGCTTGCTAAGAGGACTATTAATGGTAGTTTCTCCAAGTGGATGGTGGCCAGTGTGTGCATGTTACGTATATGCATAGCTGTAGATCATGACATCAGGAAGGGTGGATGCTGCTCTTCTATACTAGGGATTCCTTCCATTTCTTAGGCAGTCTGTTTTCAGGGCTGGGCCTCAGGTAGTGACATTTAATTTGGCTTCCTGCTGGTCCATGAGCATGTGACCTTGTTGGTATTTCTCTCTAAAGTACCATCAACAATGTAATATTGTAATTTTCAATGGTGAGACCTTTGCTTTGGACATGTAGCTCCAGTCATCAATTGCAACATGGAATTCTGGGGCAGGGACACATGGCAGAAGTAAAGAGGGTATTACAGTCATTCAACAAACTATGGGGTGTCTGTTAAATACAAAGCAGGGAGTTGGTGGCCACAGAGATGGCCGCTCAGAAAAACAATCACCATTCCTGCCAATAAGCAGCTTAATAGCATGTGTATTGTATATACAGTCAAGTGAACCAGAGTTGTGCTGTCTTTAAGTGCTGACTTTTTATAAATGTAGTAAAGAAGCCATAGACTTAAGGGAAAAAGGTGAGGAATTATAGAATGAGCAAAAGATGCGACAAAATTAGAAAGGAGACCCAGGCAGACCTATGTGGAGGACAGTAATGACTCCTTTAAAAACTGCAACTGATATAAAACAAGCAAAAGCATGTTCTTCAGTTGGTATATATTTGAACCTGGAAAATGAATCATAATATCCTAGAAAGCATGAAAAGCTACCATAAGGAATAAAGAGCACAGCTAACATTTTAATCATGTTTTTACTTTCCACTTACTCTTAAAACAAATAAAAGATTTATTCACAAGTGTTATTAAGAACACATATACAATATTACAATTAACATTTTCTCCCTACTGGAAATGTCAAAACATTTCCTTGCAAGCAATAACTATGTTCTGAAAACTCCAGGAAAAAGGATCCAGGCCTTATGTTTTTTGTCTGATCTCATTTATTTATCTCAAATTTCCCAAGACTAATCTAAAAATTAACCTTTCAATAAAGCAGTTTTCTTTTCTGGCAAATGTACATGTTCCAAAGTCTCTTTTTCTGCTTAAGAGCTGTGTGTTGAACCCATTTGATTTTGCAGTTTTGCCCAATGCATTTCCTGGCTCCCTCTCTTTTTCATTAAAGGCAGAAATCCAAGCAATTTCTTGCTTTTCATCAGTAACAATATCAACTAAAACCAGAGCCTCAACTTTTATTCCAAAAGAATACTTAAAAATAATTTTCAGAAATCTCTAAATATGCTTGAAAAATTGGAGAGTTATTCTCCCCTGGAAGTGGATATAAACACTGCAGTGAAAAAGGAAAGAACGGCTGCTGAAAAACTATTTCTCTCACTTTTTGCTAAACATCTGAAAGATCAGCAGCATTTTTATTGAAGTAAAAAAATCCTGAGTTCTCTCAGAAATCTTTAAACTAAAAAAAGTTTCAAAACATATTTAAGAGCACTCACTTCCTCACTAACGTTTATTGTTTGGAGAAAACAGAACAAAACATTCTGAAACACACTCCTCATACCAAGTGGGAATACTCTTTACTTGTAATGAACGCATGAAACTCCCATTTCTATTAGTTGAAAATGGAGCTCAACACTCACACTGAATTTGAAGTATGGCCCCTCACATCCTGATAGAAGCGATCACATCTGTCACCTGTGATCAGTCTTGCATGCTTCTTTGTAAAGTCAATAGAGCAATCTAAACATATTATGTGTCACAAATGGGGTAGGCTTCAGTAAGGGTATTGTCTTATTTTCTTGATTGCCTGCTCTAATTATTTAAAGAGCAGCTTAAGAGTTATTTCACTTATAGTGCGTCCCACTGCCTTAAATAAACCAGGAGGACTTTAATAATTCCCATTAGAAGTGTTTCAATCAATAATAATTTATTATATATATATATACACACATATATATGTATATATGTGTATATATAGTAAATTATATACATATATAATATGTATATATATGTATATACATATATAATTATATATATACATATATATGTATACATACCTGTGAGGTTTTCCATGCATAGGTTGTATACACACACACACACACACACACACACACACACACACACAATCTTTGTCTATTCTTGGAAGGAAATAACCTAAAAGGATAAGACTAACAACCTATGCGTGGAAAACCTCACAGGTAAACAACAAACCCTCAAGGTCTCAGAGGAGGAAAATTGTTTTTCTGTCTCTTTTCCTCTATTTTCAATTGTCTTGGTTCTCAAATACAGCTGCACATTGAAATCACCTGATAAACTCCTTTTTTTTTTTTTTTTTAAAGAGACAGGGTATCATTCTGTAGCCCAGGCTGGAATCCAGTGGCACAATCATAGCTCATTGGAACCTTGAACTCCTGGGATGAAGGAATCCTCCTGCCTCAGCCTCCCAAGTAGCTAGGACTACAGGTGCACATCACCATGCCCAGCTAATTTTCTTTTTTTAGAGGCAGCATCTCCCTATGTTTCCCAGGCTGGTCTCAAACTCCTGGCATCAAGCAATCCTCCTGCCTCGGCCTCTCAAAGTGCTGAGATTACAGGTGGTGGTTCACACCCACCACAGTCAGCCCTGAGAAACTTTAAAAACACTGATGCCTAGGTGTCACTCTTAGAAAGTCCACTTTAATTATTATGTGATGAAACTTTAGCATCAAGATTTTTAAAAGAAGTTCCCAAGGTTATTTGCATAAGCAGCAACATTTGAGAACCACTGTTCTACTAGGTGTGTGACCCCAGTCCCTTCACCAAGGACCAGGGAATCCTGTGTACTAACTCCTTTTTCTTCATTTGCAGTTTCACTACATGTTTCCCTTAGTTCTTAGAAATTTACACTCTACACTTCAGCCAGGTTTCACCTGCCTTTAAGTTAACCAGTCAAGCAGAGGAGGCAGCACAAAAGGAGGCAGGCCAGGAAAGAAGGAAATACAAGAAGTGTAATAAACTTGGTATGGGGACACAGGAGAAATCTGCGTAGGGTGCTGCGGATGGCTTCACAGAAGAGGTGCCAGTGAGCTGGAATTGAAGAGTATGTAGGACATCAGCAGTGGAGGCCTGAGGTATGCAATGGCTGAGCAGAAATGTCTTAGGAAGGGTGCTATCAATGAACTGTACTTGCAAAAAGGCACATAAAGAAAGATAATTGATAAGTCTTAAAGCAACTGGTCAGAGCCTTTTAACTTCTACTCTAATGATTGTTCTTTCTGTTTTAGTAATTGAACCTCTAAATTCTAGTTGGGTTCATGACCCCTGAGAAAAAAAACTATGCATCCCAGTTTCTCATTTATCAATATATGTCTGTGTGACTAACTTCTGGCCAATGAGACGTAATAGAAGTGTTGTAAGGCAGTTTCTAGGAAACTTAAAAGACAGATTAAAAGACAACTGGCGCATTCCATTTACCTCCCCTTTGTTTCGACTTTCTGCTCCCTGCAGTGACTGGAGCCCCAGCCATAATTTTGGTCCATGAGAATGAGAAGTATACTCTAGGGATTGTGGAAGAATGACCTGGAAAATTCTAGGTTGCTGAAATACACAGAATAGCCCTACTAGCTCTGGACTGCCAACCTCTGGACTTTTTTTTTCTCTCAAGAAACAGAAATAAACTTATTTAGGTCCCAGTTTTCTTATTTGTAAAACAGAGATAACAGTACTCACTTCATTGGTTATTGTGAAGATTAAGTACATTTATATAAGTAAAGCACGTAGAGTGATGACTGGCATAGTAAGAGACATAATTTCATATATACATAATACTTATTTAATTATAATTTATATACCTATATATCTCTCTCAGGTTTTGTCTTGTGCTACTTTCTCTTTTCAGTCTACACTCTAGCTCGGGGTCAGCAATCTTCAGCCTGTGGGCCAAACATGACCCACTGCCTGCTTTGTAAATAAAGTTTACTGGAATACAGCCTTTATTTGTTACATATTGTCTGTGGATGCTTTTGTGCTACCATGGCAGAATTGAGTAGTTTCGAGAGAGACCTTATAGCCTGCTGAAAATGTTTACCACCTGGTATTCTGGAGAAAAAGTTTGCCAAGCCCTGCTCTAGGTGATCTCATCCTGTCTCATAGCTTTAAATACTAATTGTATGTGACATCCAGGTGGATATCTCCATCCCAGATGTCTTCTCTGAAACCAGGATCTTATATTCAACTATCAACCTGACATCTCCATTTGCCCAACCAATGGGCATCTCCAACTTAATTCTTTCTAAAATGTGTTCCTCTCACAGTCTTCCCATCTTTAGCACCACCATCCACCTGGGAGCTTAAGCAAGTAACCTTCGAGCCAACTCTTCTCTTCCCTTCACTACTAAAATCCAATCCATTAGCAAGTTCATTGGTTCTTCCTTCAAAATATATGTTTAATCCAACTACTTCCTTTTCTCCACTGCCATCATCACAGTCCAAACCATTATCATCTCTTAATGGACTCCCTTCTGGCTTCCTCATTGGCTTTGGGTCACTTTAATATTTTCTTGACGCAGCCACCAAAGAGTGCTGTTTTACAGGCTGCAAATCAGATAATGTCTTTTCCCTGTTTAAAACCTTTGGTGGCATTGTACTGTATTTAGAACAAAATCCAAACCTCTACCAAAAGGTGGCCCTTCCCCACTTCTCATTAACCCTCCCACTTCCTTGACATAAACCAGAGCAGCATCTTCATTGTTCCTTGGGCCCTTCAAGTTTTTGCCTGCCTAAATTCAGGAACGCTGCACATGTTCTTTCCTGTGTCTGATATCTTTCTCCCTTCAGCTCTTCACAGGATGGAGCCCTTCTTATTCATTTGGATGGAGCTTAAATGACACTTTGTGTGTCAGGAACCTCTTGATTCCATCAGAGGCCTGAAAGCCTTGACTCTCGTCACATACATAACAACATTTGCTTTCTCAGAAAAAAGATGAAGGGCTCTTTATGCACCAAAATCCCTGTGCATCAAAAAAAAAAAAAAAAAGATAAAATGTTACATACTGCAATAAAATGTTACATACTGCAGTAAGTGGATTTTCTTAGGCTTGAAAGTTCCTGGGAGATATCTGCCTAAAATCGAACCAGTTTGTTCTTTTATATTTTCATCACAAGAGAACAGAGGTGGTACTGTTTATTAAACCTACCTCAATTGAGGTTATGGAATTACAGTGCCAATCATCTCTGCCCCAAAAAAGATTGTAAAAATGATTGAGACATTTCCTGCCCTTTGAAGGAGCTACTAAAATTGAGGAGAGTTCTCTTTAAAATGTAAAGAAGCATGGGTCTCCATCTTACCACTGAAGCGCTGAAGCACATCTAATACATTTTGGGGGAAACTAAAGAGGTGCTATTATTTAGTACACCATTTTTGTGCACTAAAGAGGTGCACAAAGACTTTTAGAGCATGCTTTCTTGGACTGTCAAGGTCTGGAGTCTTTGGACGCATTGCTTTTTATTTTTTTTATTTTATTGCATTTTAGGTTTTGGGGTACATGTGAAGAACATGCAAGATTGTTGCATAGGTACACACGTGGCAGTGTGATTTGCTGCCTTCCTCTCCATCACCTATATCTGGCATTTCTCCCCATGCTATCTCTCCCCAACTCCCCACACCCCACTGTCCCTCATTTCCACCCAACAGACCCCAGTGTGTAGTGCTCCCCTCCCTCTGTCCATGTGTTCTTATTGTTCAACACCCGCCTATAAGTGAGAACATGCAGTGTTTGATTTTCTGCTCGTGTCAGTTTGCTGAGAATGATGGTTTCCAGGTTCATCCATGTCCCTACAAAGGACCCAAACTCATCGTTTTTGATGGCTGCATAATATTCCATGGTGTATATGTGCCACATTTTCCCTGTCCAGTCTATCATTGATGAGCATTTGGGTTGGTTCCAGGTCTTTGCTATTGTAAACAGTGCTGCAATGAACATTTGTGTGCACGTGTCCTTATAGTAGAACGATTTATAATCCTTTGGATATATACCCAGTAATGGGATTGCTGGGTCAAAAGGAATTTCCATTTCTAGGTCCTTGAGGAATCACCACACTGTCTTCCACAGTGGTTGAACTAATTTACACTCCCACCAACAGTGTAAAAGTGTTCCTATTTCTCCACATCCTCTCCAGCATCTGTTGTCTCCAGATTTTTTAATGATCGCCATTCTAACTGGCGTGAGATGGTATCTCAATGTTGTTTTGATTTGCATTTCTCTGATGACCAGTGATGATGAGCATTTTTTCATATGTTTGTTGGCCTCATGAATGTCTTCTTTTGTAAAGTATCTGTTCATATCCTTTGCCCACTTTTGAATGGGCTTGTTAGTTTTTTTCTTGTAAATCTGTTTTAGTTCTTTGTAAATTCTGGATATCAGCCCTTTGTCAGATGGGTAAACTGCAAACATTTTTTCCCATTCTGTTGGTTGCCGATTCACTCTAATGACTGTTTCTTTTGCTGTGCAGAAGCTGTGGAGTTTGATTAGGTCCCATTTGTCTATTTAGGCTTTTGTTGCCAATGCTTTTGGTGTTTTGGTCTTGAAGTCCTTGCCTACGCCTATGTCCTGAATGGTTTTGCCTAGATTTTCTTCTAGGGTTTTTATGGTGTTAGGTCTTATGTTTAAGTCTTTAATCCATCTGGAGTTAATTTTAGTGTAAGGTGTCAGGAAGGGGTCCAGTTTCTGCTTTCTGCATATGGCTAACCAGTTCTCCCAACACCATTTACTAAACAGGGAATCCTTCCCCATTGCTTGTTTTTGTCAGGTTTGTCAAAGATCGGATGGTTGTAGATACGTTGTGTTGCCTCCGAGACCTCTGTTCTGTTCCAATGGTGTATATCTCTGTTTTGGTACCAGTACCATGCTGTTCTGATTACTGTAGCCTT